ACTAACCATGCAAAAAATTTTATTTTAAAACTTTGTTTCGCTGTGGGGGGAAATGTAACGGAGATTAGTTTAAATTGTAGGTTATGTTCGTTACTGATTGATCTCATTTTGATACCAGTGAGTACTGAATAACTGTTTTGTCTTATCAGAGGACCAAGTCAAAGATCGAACCTAGGACATACAGGTTTCACAGTGAACATTTAAATATGAGAAACACTGGTAAAATTTCAACTTTAGTCAACTTGTGATATAGTGCAAAGACCATCCAGTGTCATATGTGATAACTGTTTCACTATCAATATGTCTTTCCAGTGCTGCTTAATTTTGAACAGTACCCTAATTGAGATCAGTCTGTGGCGAATACAGCCTAAAATATGCTTTTTTTCACTTGGAAAATAATCTTAACGATAAGTTGATATCACCTAAAAAAACCCAGTCATTGAATAGTATATATTCGTTACACATTACTACTTTTCAACCTTGTATACTTGCATCTTTATTTAGAAACGAACTATGTCTTATGAACTAAGTAAATTTGGACATTGAGTTAGTGATTGCAAACATCCAATGTTTCAGTTCTGTAACTTCAGTTTACTATATATGACTATCATTATTATGCTATCTTGTAGTTGTTCCCAAATAATTAATTATTTATATCGGAATAATTAGCTTCTCATCAACTGGAGATGTTAGTAGTGTTACGCTGTCGACCGTCATTGGCGGGAAACTTTCCGCTTAAGGTTTTCTGCGATTTGGTTCAATCCGGATAAGTATACCTAAAATCTTAAGGAAACGATTGTAAGTAACTTGGTCTTACAGGAAGTAATTTGCTGTTTAAATGTCTTAGTGCCCAAGTCTCAGATTGCGAGTCTTAGTGACGTGGATTCGAATCCTATAGAAAGCGTCCATTCCCTCGGTATTGCAGGTGCGCTTTGATGATTGATACCGACTAACCTAAAACCTAGGTCGAGCACAGTTCCCTGACGACCATCTCCAACCACATTAAATCTCAACATAGTGGACGTGATATCAAGTCACTGATACTGGTGACGATACTGTCATTTGATCATTCGAATTCAATCAGCACTCAAGGGACTAGGAAGAATGACATCGGTCATTACTAAGTGTCCAATCAGCTGTTAATTTCGAAATTATGATTATGTAATATGATAATATCTAAGAGTTGAAAACGGTCTATAACTGAATTTTATGCTGAGTTTTATTAGTAATGAGATGTTTGTGACGATGAGTTCAATTTGTAATTTAGTTTATTATCATAACATGACTTTACTTAGACAACCATTCACAAATATGATGCACAGAATACAATTCATTCGAAATGCTTACACTGGACCCCCTGCCAAATGATGATCCCAGTCATGCCAAAAAAACTTTGTACGATAACAATACACACAGGGCATAATCAAATATCAGCTAAAGATGGCATTGATCACTAATCATTGATCATTTGACTGTAGATGTTTTTTTTAACATTTTCAGTGCATAAAATGATAGATTAATAAACATGTTTATTGATTTTTGATTACTTCCTAATAAAGAAATATTTTACCGTTTTTATACGGTATTCAAAAGAAATCGATTCACTTTTTGTATCATTCTTTTTTACTTCAATGAAGTTTTATTGTGAGAGAACTAAGTATTGTTAAAAAAAAAATTATCAATAGAATATAGATGTAAACGCAGAACTACCAGTATGCTTACACCGATGACAGCTGATAAATTGTATAAGTGATATATTTTATACTAAAATTTCTAAGTAACGATGTTTCAATACGGACTGTGATAAACAGTTCTAAGTATTCATATATGTATTTACTTACTTACTTACTTACGCCTGTTACTCCACCTGGAGTCCCTCCAGGGGCTACTGCCGGTCCCAAGCCCGGATAAAGGAGGAGGGTTGGGCATAGGGTTAGCGACCCCATCCCGTAGATAACCAACTCGCTAAAAAAACCCTAACCAGAAAAAAAATGTATATATATTTAGTTGAAATATAATCATTTTACTCTTTAAATATACCTTATTATTTTGTTAAATCAAAGGACACATTATTAGTATTAGTACTGATGTTGAATACCATGAAATTAGGCTATAATCCTAAAATACTGTCTTCATTATTAATCAGTAATAGCTCTGTTAAACCACTGCTTGTAAAATGACTATACGGATGTTGTTTTGTCTTTTCAGTTGTTAATAAGGGTAATCAAGCTGTCATTATTATCAAAGAACAATGTTTTATCTAGTTTGACTTTTGTTTTCTCTCTAAGAATTCTATTGGTGCTATTTTTATGATTTGTTAAATAAACAATAAATCTAGCACTGTATTTGGATGAGTTTCATAAAAATTGGTTTAATTTGTCAGTTGCATTTGCTACAGATTGATGATAGCCTTATACAACTAGTTAATTGAAGTTAAAATCGTATCATTAGACGCCGACTCAGTGGTTCTAATGGCTAAGGGTTTATCGAGAAACCTGAAGGTTCTCGATCCAATTATCGTGATGGGTTTTTTTTTATATGTGTGTACTACTAATGGCTTCATGCTAGAATGACATAGCTATCCAATGCTCTTTGATTTTAATCGATACATAAAGTGAGGTCATTATTCAACAAACACTGCCTATAGAATCAAACTAGTCACCGGTTTATCACTTTCCAGATAAAATTTGGTAAAAAAAAAATAGATGAATGATTTCGCAACATACTGAATAATAATTTGTTGATATGTCCACTCGATAGTTTGAATCAATTGAACCTTTGCAGAAAGAATTCACTTTCGTAGCAAAATCTGTCATGATATATTTATATAATTATATTAATTGTTAGTAGAGTTCGACTTCAATCTCCTTATTGTTTAGTAAAGGTTACTTATAGTTAATATTTGATAAGTAATTTTTACATCCGATCAACTGTTGACTAGATAGTTTGTGTAACTATTATGTTAAAAATAATTACATAACCCAGAGATAAATTAAGACTTTTCAAACATCTGGTACTTAAAACTGACCCTATACTCGGACACACTGTTCAACGTATACATTATCTGTCTGGTAAATATTTTAAGAAAAGATTGTATTTTTTCAATACACAGAATCAGAATTACAATTACAAAACAATATGATGTACTAATATTGACTGAGTTTTATAATCAATAGAACAAGTAAATTGTTTGATCTCTGTAATCATCAAAAAGTACATATTTCATTTAGATTTAATACTTTATGGAAATCACTAATCCAGGCAATTGTTTCCAAACCTTTTCCATAAGGTAATGAGTCATAACGTTTACTGTTGTTTTTTTTTATCTTTCTATCCTGTGACTTTCATAAGGTTGGTAATGAGGAAAATGAATTTTTATTTTCACTATAGGATTTTGTAGGGATTAGAGAATTTACATAGTTTGTAAATCACTTACTGATTTTAGCTAAATCAACACTGGAAACTATTGGTTTCGTCCTAGTTTAGAACTTTTCAACAGTACATGTTCATGAGCCCACATATCTGGGAATCGGACCCAGGAAATTCGGTCTGGCATGTGGATGCTTAATCTCTAAGCCAATGAACCGGTATTCAGCTGTACTATTGTCTGACTTCAATCAATTTACGATATTACTCAACCATCTTCCATTGCCGGGGGTGAATATCTATCTCACCCATGATTGAACTCTACTAGTAATGGCTTTTCACTAAAACCCTGAGAATTGAACCTTGAAGCTACAACGTAGGACCAGGCACATATGTGCATCGGTCCAGGTTGCCATACCGCATCAACACAACAAGATGAACATCGGATTCATAGCATTGGTTATGTCAAAGGTGGTAATATATAAGAGAAAGATTGCATATAGAGATATAATACAAGAAGAAAGAATTGGTTCGTAGAAAGAAAGATATGAAGTGATTTTAATCTCTTAGTTTAAGGGAAGACAGGGAGTGTATACACCGACGCCATTGTGATCGATTCTGAGCCATGTCACCAAGAGTCTCCAACCATTGGTTACGATAGTCACGCGGACCCCAACCAAGTAGTCTGCATCTACCAACATGGCTCAGACTACAAGTTAGTGACTTCAAGCACTGATGCCACGTTTTGGTTTGGCCGCCCCTAACTTTCTTCCAACCATTTCCAATACCGGATAGCATTGCACGTCGTGGTAATCGGTGTTCAGGCACTTATCGGCGTCCGACAATGGTGGTCTTTCTCGACTTGAAAGCAGCATTCGACTCTGTAGATCGCGAGATTCTGTGGCAGTGTCTGTCATTGAAAGGCGTACCCCAGAAGTACATAAACCTTGTAAAGGCTCTTTACTCGAACACTACTAGTCGAGTCAGGGCTTATGGCGAACTGTCATCTACCTTTGCAACCTCAAGTGGTGTCCGTCAAGGATGTCCACTTTCCCCATTTTTGTTTAACTTCATCATAGATCTACTGATGGAAATAACTTTCTCGTCGATTTTGTTGAATTAATACGTTTTTAAGCGTTTTCAAATCATGAATTTGCAGTAAGTACAAATCCTTAACCGAAAGTCGACCCAATACTTGGTTTGACGTTATCATGAAAGTTTGTGATACTGCCATGGTGCCAAAAAACGAAATAAGAGAATAGAGGTTCGAACCTGAAAATCTATTATTCAAGATCAAATGCTTCTTCAACCATTAACCCATCACTCCTTAAAAAAATATGAACAATGATATCGCCTTTTTATTGTAACTGTGCAAAAATTTTTATCAGTGTTCGAACACACACAGAATTACATACATTGGTCATCTGAATTTTCCTGTTCATCGGTTTTTGTCATCATTCGTCACCTTTAGTCTTCTGGGAACTGATACTTTCTATGGTTTAATTACTAAGCTGAAAATTATAACATTTTCTTACATAAACTAAAAATAAGGTTTATTATTCAAATATTTTATTACATATAAATTAACATGACAATATTTTCAACAAGAATCTTTTCTTTTCTATTTGAATCAGATTGGCAGCAGATGCACTGTCATCAGTAACGGAAAGTGAACAAAGTCTAATTCATTTAACTGATAATCCACTTCCTAATCCACATTTTGAATCAGTTAAAAAAGGAGAAATTATCATTCAAAATGTTGATAACACTAATAAATATTTGCATAGTATTAAACGTGTACATAAACTAATTGAAGATGAATTAATGATGGAATATGATATGAATAGTACTAATACAACTACTACTACAACTGCAACAAAGACAGCATCAATAAATACCATTCTCGATAATGATAATGATGATGAGATTAGTCGTGGCAATAAATTCTCACGATATCATGAAAAGAATGAATTTTGTACACCATGTAATATTCATCAAACTAAAAAAGATATTATTACAAAGAGTACTAGTAAACGGTCAATTTTAACAACAAAAAATTACTCTACAACAACTGGTCTATTATATGATTTACTATCGGGTACAGAAAACTTCGATTCAGTTTATATGAGGAGTCAGTTAGTGTTTTTGACATGTGATAATGCGAAATCAATAACTAATCTTAAAAAAGATAAATTTCTTAGTCGACGCAAAATCAATAATTCATCATCTGTTCAAAGGAGACGTAAATCACTTAAACCAAAGAAGCACTGTAATAGTTTACAAACCTTAGAAACTTCCATCAGTAATGGTAGAAAACTTTTTCAGAACAATCTGTTAGGCGAGAAGTTGTCATCGTCTTCTCCATTATCATCATCATCTTTGTCATCATCATCTTTATCATCATCACCTACATCTTCATCATCTTCATCTACGTTGAGCCCTTCACATATTAATTTGTTAACACATTCCCAGTTATCTCCAACAAAGTTGTTTGATAGATTTGATTACTTAAAAAACAACCACGTTCTACATTCCCAGTCACCTATTAATCATTTTCCTACTGTACATACTGCTAATCTCACCACCGCTACAACTTCTACAACTATGAATAGTCAAGAATGTTCTGAACAACCACTTGATTTATCTTCAGCTTCCTCTCATTCCAATCAATCAGGTTTACTCGATAATTTTAAATGTAATATTCCTACCTCAGATATCATAATCTCAAAAAGAAGGCGGAGTTTTGCCGGTGATTTAGATTACACTTCACGATTTTCTGACAATTCGAGTATTCTACGATGTAATAGTTTAAGACATAATTCAGTTACATTCCCTTTGTCTCATACGGTAAGCAAATTTAGGAATTGTATTACTTCTAGTACCAATGTTACTGGCAGTACTACCATTAATAATACCAGTAATAGTAATTTAAGACCTGAGCGTCAGCCATCAGAAGAATTTATTTGTAAAGATATTGAACAAAAACTAAATAAGAATAATCTGAATAATACATCGAACAATGAATCAACCTTACTAGGAGCCAACTTACTTAACTTAATTCTATCTCCAGCATGTTATCAAATTGCTTTATCCGCTGCATTCGCCTTATGTGCATCTTCCGTTTTTCCGTCTTTTGATAATACAATATATCGAACTAATGATTTTTCAAATTCATGTAATACCCTTAAGACAACAGATGAATTAGCCTGTAATCTATGGGCATTATCGAATTCCAATCGAATCACTTCTAGTGAACAAATTAATGAAAATAATCAACAATATTTATCAAATTCAAATCAATCATCATCAAGATTATCAGACGAGAAACATGACAATATTTCAAAACCTGTACATATACAACATTCATCATCAATTCAATCCAAGCTCAATGTAAAACTTAATTCGTTGACAAAATTAAAAACCGGTGAAAGTGTACCATCCAAAAAATCCATTTTAAAATTACATTTCTTTCCAAAAAACACTCAACATAATCATCAAACAAAACTTTTGAAGAAAAAAACAAACTCTTCACATAGTCGAACATTGTATCAACATTCCAGTAAAAACAACAACAATAATAAAATCAATAATTCTGTTACACATACAGCTGATGATGATGATGATGATGATGATGATAATGATGAGGATGTGATCAATGCACAACATTCCTTTATTACTCCATCTATCAAAATTTCCAATCAAAATCTAATCTTTTACAATAAATTAAAACAATGGTTTAGACAAATGATCCATTTAATTGAACAACCAAAATTAGCAATAATCTCTTTATTACCTAATCATATTAGAAATGATTTAACAAAGACAAATTTATTCAGTTCATTCAATGAATATCTATTAGATCAATCGATTGATACAAGATTAAAACTTTTAAACATATCATGGTATCGGTTATTGATAGTTTATTTAATTGAACATGAACAATTGAATTCACTGATGACAACATTTTCATCATCGTCACCATCACCATCATCATCATCATCATCATCGCCATCGTCTACGTCATTGTCACCAGTGAATGATAAGAGTGAATTTAATGAGAAGAAATTAATAATTAAGAAAAAATTTCCAATCGGTAAATCGATAAAATCAAAGAAGAAATATGTTGAAATGATCAGTGCATTTCATGATATTCAATCAATAGCAACAATATGTTATTCACTGAAATTTACTCATTCAGTTTACAGTCTGATTCGAATTGGTTTATTAATATTAGGTCAGTTATATCTATATATGCTTTTAAAATAAACTTTGACTGATACAATTTTCAATAGTTGAGATCATGAGTGAACTGAAGCTAAACCACCATAGAAAACCTGGAAGCACTGAACAACCACAATGGGACAAAACGGCCGTCCAGTGCTTTCAGGTTTTCCATGGTGGTCTAACATCAATCGGTTCATGATCTCAATCAAAAACTTAACAATCTCCACAACCCGTAAACTGATAAATATATAGTTGATCAACTTAAACTACTTATATATTTACCATTGATAATATTAACATTTACTATGTACGCATACAAACAATCATAAATTTGATTAGTACATTTATCCATCAGACATCTTTCTATGTATTAGACTTGTTAGACAGAGAAATGACCCAGACGTTGTTATACTGTTACTAGCTTACAATCTATTTGAACAAAATTTATTTTATATAGGTAGTATAATACCCTTGTTCATTTAAGGATTCTTTCCAAGTGAATCGAGACTATGAAAACAATTTGATTGTATCTAATTGTTAATTAATCTATATTGTTTTGATCTCATTGTGACGACGTAACAATTGTCAGTAAGCGAGTAAATACTTAATTGAAGAAAAGCACTTTACCTTTTCTATGAATGTGTCTCAGATAAAGGCAAATAGATATCAATATTTTGTCATAATAATAATAATAATAATAATTATTATTATTATTATTACTATTATTATTTTGATTTGGCCTAATAAAGAATCTCGTGGATTGGTTGAGGTTAGACGTTAACACCATTGGATGCCGGCTCAGTGTTTCAGTAGGTTAACGTTTGCGCGCGAGACTGAAGGCCCTGGGTTTGAATCCCGCGAGCGGGATCGTGGATGCGCACTGCTGAGGAGTCCCACAATGGGACGAAACGGGCGTCCAGTGCTTCCAGGTTTTCAATGGTGGTCTAACATCAATCGGTTCATGATCTCAATCGAAAGAATTTAGAATTGATGAATGTATTTTACTTGTCAAATTATTTGTTTAGAATTCCGTAACCATATTAAAATAGGAAAGATTATTATTGTTATGTAAAAGCTTTTCTCATTTATTTCAGCTATAAATATTGATCTATATGTCAAAAGATAATTAAGTAATTGACTTGTAATTAACAAACTTACTACTGATTAGGTTGCATAATAAAGCAACCTGTCTCTATTGTCCTAATTTTAGGATTACTCACAAGTGCTCCCCCATGATTTTATACAGGACAATCAGTTCTTGTTGTGAACATGATACAACTAAATCACTGAGCTGAAATATGGTGGTCTTTTATTACAATTCCAGTTTTGAATTTAGCGCTATCATTATACTATACTATAAGTACATAATTGAACCTCTCCTAACATACTCGATTCCTCAGGTCACAACTTTCTGCTGGAACTACGTAAGAGTTCTAAAACTAGGATGGAGTACCTGGATGGCTGTCATCGGTTTTTTTTATAGTTCGTCAGTCAACTCTCATTTAGATAACTAGTCAGTATGATATTTCCATATGACAGTTGAGTGACTACTGTGTTTTCGCTAAGTATTTTCTAGTTCATTGTAATTTAGCGGTTTGGGCAACTTACGTTTATAAATTTTGACAATTTTATCAACCAACTTTGTAAATCTAACTCGAACTGGATTATATTTTCATCAAGTGTAGGCGTATGAAATGTTGATTTTAATTGCATTAGATCTTTGTAGCAAGTATAACTGGAAATTTGGCAGACACTTTAAGAATCCGAGTCGACAGAAGTTATTGTACACATAAATGTTAATCCACAAGTGGCGTTGTGTGCACTACTTGTAGAAACAGATATAAGTATTATGCTTAGGAGTTGAAAGTAGAATGCTCATGGATAAAAGAGGAAAGTAAGGAGAAAAAAGAAGACAAAAAGCAGTCAAAATATGGACATAAATAAAGGAACGATTAAGTTTGTAAGGGACAACTTAAGGAAGATGGGCAAATAACGTATTCAATTTATTGTTTTCATACTTTACAAATATACTGTGTGATCTTACACGCTGATTGAGGGTTCGGTCATTACAGTGGCATTTAAGCAATTTTGTTTCATTAGTGTTAGAATTCTAGTCCGTTTTAATTTTCAGTTATGGTAAATCAGCTTTTCGTGTAGAAAACTAAGTAGTCTCAAATTCAAACAGTAATGGGAAGGATTTGATCATTTTACTAATGACACGTTAACTACTTATAATTGATTTCTTAGGTTAGTAATTTTGGTCATAAAAAGTCGCCAAGTTGACTTACGAAAAACATTATGCTTCATTTCCTAATATAATTATATGTTATTTTTACTTTTGACTTTTCTATTATGTGTTTTTCTGATTGTCAAGGCAATTATCAAAAAACGCAATCTATCAATGATATTCATTGGTTGGAACAAACACTTCTAGAATATATAGTCACATCAGAAGGAACCAATGAAAAATCTAATTCCAGTCCAAACTCATCACCACAGAGTTGTCAGACAATGAGTACCAATCTTTCTGATAACTTGAATACTACTACAACTACCACTCGTACTGATGTGTTCAACTGTAGCAATATTGGTAACAGTAATGGTAGTAGTAGTAGTAGTAACAATGTCAGTAGCAGTGTTATTCCTATTGATACACCATCCATGATACATACATTAATTGATAAACTATTGAATATAACTAAAGAGTCAATTATTTTCTTTGTATCTAATCAATTAGGTGATTCAGTTGAAGATTTATTCAACAGTCTTGTCAAAATCTCACAAACATAATTCCAATGTTCTAAAACGACGTTTTTTTTTGTTTGTTTTTTTTGTCTATTTTTTTTTCTTTTCATCGATACTTTATCTTCAATTTGTTTTCGATTGTTTATAAGTGCTATTATCATTATTACCATTATTGTTAATTACCTAATATATGATCTTTTTGTTTAACTGAATGCGCCCCGAGTAAATTGAACACATTGAATATATTATTATTATTATCATTATTATTCATAACTATATCTACTAATAAATAAATAGTTGAATTGTTAATTCTACCTCATAAAGAATGACAATTTATTTTTGACTTATCTAGTTATAACTAATGTTCCATTTGTTTCATGTTTTCAATTATTTTCAATCGCTCTCCTTTATTCACCAGCTTTTTTCCCTTCCTCCCCCCTTTCTCTCTCTCCCCCATAAAACTACATCCTTTTCTATAACTGTTTATTCGCTTATTCTTTTTTTTTTAAAACATAATTTCAATCGTTAGTTTATCTTGGAAACTGATTGCAGAAATATTGTTGAAATAGTCCTCTGTAATGCATCACATGACAAAATTACTTTTCAAACGATGGTTACTTTATTATTATTATTTTACCCTTGTTTTCTCCAGTTTCCTATAGGGTTGTTACGATTTTTCGTCGTTGTTTTTGTTGTTTAAATCACTTTATATGCATAGTTGATTTGCAATACATTCAATTTCATAATTTCACTATTCTATCTCCATTTCTTCCTCTTCTTATCATTACTATTATTATTATTATTACTGTCGATAATGCCGGTGAAATTATTATAATAAAAACACAGCACAACTGAAATAAATATTTACTTGATAATAATAATGACTGTAGTAAATACAATTTTCGACCCCTCGTGAATGGATATTGATTTGTTGGACAATTTTTTTTTCCTTGTTCGTCATTATTATTTATTTCGTCTGTAATCACTCTTGTTAATTATTTTTCTTTCACTATTTCTGTCTCTATTAAAATATCGCCTCCCCTTTGTTGGGTTGTCCTAAATACTATTATTTGTTGGATGAAAGTAGTAACAAGTTGATAAAGGTTGAGCATCTTGTCGTGTGTGTGTGTGTGTGATTGGTTTCTAAATTTTTTATAAACATTAAAAGAAATCTTGTCTCTTCAGTGTTTTCTTTTTCAGCATACGACTGTTTGTTTTTCCTATCTTCCAAATCTTTATTTGTTTACAGTTTTTTGGGCTCACCACACTTTGTTATTTCTCTTTTGCATTAATTATTGTTTTTTGGTTAGGTACAGAGATGGGGTAATAAAAATTTTCAAAAAAAAACTGGATAATCTTGAATTGTTAGTGTTCTTATATGATGATAGAAAAAGATTTAAGTTAGCCTGTCGTTGATATTCAGGACTAAATTTTGATCAGTTTCTGTTGGCATATGCGCAACATAAGTGGATTACCTTGATATAGCCATTATGTCGGAAGATTTCTACAGAATAGATATAATTTGACTAACAGTGAATTACCAACAGCAAGGTGACCCGAATGCTGCCTTCTAACAATGTAAATAGTATGTCTGTTGGAGCTATTGTCTAGGTAGATTCGGTAGCCCAACGGATAACTCCGTTGGCGTTTGAAACCAAAGATATTAGTTTCGATTACTGATGTAAACAAAAACACTGAAATTCAGATATATCCAGCTGATGAGTCTCAAATGGGACTAGATTCCTGCTCTGTGTGCTAATACTAGCCACAATCTATTTATTCTTTAAAACTTTTCTGAAGATTTTTAATTATTCGGCAATGGCGTACATATTATCAAATTGAAAAGCAATTTTAAATACGTAGAATATTTTTAAAAAGCTTCTAAATAACTGGTGGGCATGACTTATGTAAAAATCAGCACAATTCCAGTAGATAGTGAAGAAGATTTGTGGCTCAGGTGGATGATTTTGATGGAGCTTAGTGAATAAAACTATCAAAAACAATTCTAATGGGTTTTATATTGATGTGTTGACCATTTACGGACTATTTTAAAAGTTGAACTATTTACAATAATGTACAGGAAATTGTTTAACAATGTTTCATATTATTTAGTACTCAATCATTAACAAGACTTATCTCCATTGTGAAGCTAGTAGAATACGAATGTAAATCGGGCAACATGCAAATATATAGAATACTGAAATATTTACCTGTTTAATTCCACTCATCTTCTGTCAGTATAATACGCTAAAATACTAGATGAATCTATGAATGTAATGGTTGTCTATTAATTCAGTTGATAAAATCTCAACAAACGATTCACCTATTTTAATTGGCTAACTTTATAGTTTTAAAACCCTCTAATTAATCGAATATAACCGTTTTTTTAAGTTCATCTCATGATAAAGTATTATGTCCACATATTAAAAGCTATAAAAGATACTAAAGAATTTAGTTAACTTTTTCTAGAGGACTCCGATATCCTACAAAAGTACATGATCAAACTGAATAAAAGATGTAATCGAAAACAATGTTCGATATACCCGTTTCAACAATGAACTTCTCGTAACCATTAACATCGTATATGATATAATTCTTAGGTATCCACTTAATAAGGCATACTTTGTATCAAGGAACATGTTTATATTAAAGATGCCAGAAAGTTAGCATGAATATTTGAGATTAAAATGGGTTTTAAACCATGGACTTATCTTAGCTAGACCACTATAGGAAATCTGGAACCATTGAATGACTGTTTATCCTAAGCGGTGTTACCTTTGACCCTGCATCTGGAAGTCGAACTTGGGATCTCTGGCCTCGCACAAGAACGCTCAATCTCAACCACTGAGACAGGGTCGCAAAATGTCCTGAACTGACGGAATTTAGGCATCAAAGTCCCTGGATACCGGCTTATTGATCTAGAGGTTAAGGGTTTGCACTCAATACTGAATGTGCTGCGTTTGATTCTCGGATGCAAGATTGTGGATGCACACTGCTAAAGAATACTACACTACGATAAAATGGTCATCCTATGCTTCCACGTTTTTAATCGTGATTCAGCTAAGATCACTCTAATTTAAAAACTAAAAATTCTATTATCTCAACAAACCGCCATACTGATAATTCCTGAATAGCAGTTTAAATCAAATCACCAGGGAGTTGAGTATGATCATTTAGATTCTAATTTATGCGGCTTAATATTTTAAGAGCCATATTAATAACGCTTACTAAATGTCAAAACAGGATATAAAGTTGTGAAATATGTATATTTGTTAGTAATAATACATGGTTAGCGTTTTTTTAGCGAGTTAGTTTTCTACGGGATGGGGTCGCTAACCCCATGGCCAACCCCCTCCTTTATCCGGGCTTAGGACCGGCAGTAGCCCCCGGAGGGACTTCAGGCGGAGTTAGTGATACATGACTTGACTAAATACTCCATTACTGATCCACATTGAGTGAATATGAATTCTTAAGAAGATCAGTTATTATATTATAGTTACTTATATAATAAATTATTATTGAACTGATGTACTAACAATGCAATTAAATTATTAAAACAATTCCAATGTTTATCACTGATTCTTTTTCCTAGTAACCACTATTTATAAGTGTACTTTAAGCAAATACCATATTAAAAAAAAATTAATATATCACCATGGTGAGTTTGTCAAAGCATTCAATTAACTAACTAGCTACAAAGTTGTCAGTCCATTAGAAATGAACTGAGAAAGTTCAAAGGAAACACTTGTAGATACATGTTCTTTTTTTTCTATTGCATTTGATTTCATTGATATCATGACAAACAACATCATACTTTAATAATAGTGTAATTACAATTGAATTTGTATTATATTGAAATACATTATAACAAAATAGATTTCATAAAGAAATATATATATGTCAAATAATTCTTGTAGAACACAAGAGACAAAGTGTATGTATGTGTGTACGTGTGTGAGTGAGTGAGTGAGTGAGTGAGTGAGTGAGTGAGTGTCAGAGAGTGTGTGTGTGTGTGCGAGTGAGTGAGAGAGAGAGAGAGAGGAAGATAGAAACAATGAAAGGGAGTAATATGAAATTCATTCATCGCTATAATTGTTTATTCATGTTTATTCTTAGTTTCAGGCTATTTAATATTAAATGCTTGAATATTAGAACAAAATAAATAATTCACATCAACATATATTGTCATGTAAAATTAAATTGTCAATTCTTTTATTTCTGATGAATTGACATACAACACTATGGACAATAATAATAATCGTCCTTATTATTTGTCATAAGACTAAATTGGATCTTCCTTTAATTCAACTTTAATACTTAATTAATGATATAGTAATCAGATGTTCAGATATTTTTACAGGGTGTATTTACCATAAGAAACAGTCGAAAGTGAATGCCTAGAGAGAGAGAGAGTTGTTATTTGGTACCATTCATGAAGTCAGTTCTTATTGTTAATTCATAGGTATATGGATTTACATTAGATTAGTTGTTTATCAGTTGAAGAGGAGGGACCGAACGGACGTATAGTACGTCGGCGGCCTGCTTGAATATCTGAGCTACCTGTTTCTGTTATCAGGATATTTCATTAAGCTATCTGTTTTCTTGTTTGTTTTAATACATCATAATGTCTGTTGAGTGCGTAACCTATTCAAGTGCGTTTATGAAAAAGTTGACGACATTTCGCTGTACAGGTTATAAAAAGATACAATCAGCGAAATCATGGTGATTGACAATATGCATTGAAAAGAACAAACATTATTCAGATGTCGATTCCAGAACTGTTAACATCTAAATGGCGATCACTCAATATTTATCGTCAGGATCGATCAAGAAATAACAAACGGAAACTTGTTGAAATACTTTGCGGTGAGAATTCTATATTGTACCAAAAATGTAATATCGAAAAAAGCCAATAATAATAATAATCGATCAGTCAGTAATAAACAGTTCAGGATCTAAGTCAAATGTGCGCCAGTCTTAGCTGCCTCAGTCTATCAACAGGTGAAATGAAACGAATAAAATAAATATCAAATGAGCCAAAATAG